ATATTATATTGATGTATAAAAAACGATTTTTATTAATTTTTCTTAATTGATAAAATACGAAAATTGAAGAAAAAAAATTATTTAATAATTGAAATAATCGACTATTTTTCAAGAAGGAGAAAATTATTTTTATTTGACTCACATAAATAATAATTATTTCACGTATAACCATAATTTTAATCACAAATTACTTGAGAAATAATTTTTTCGATAATAGTTAATTTATAAATAATTATTTCGCTAATAATTAATTTATAAATAATTATTTCGATAATAATTAATTTATAAATAATTATTTCGCTAATAATTAAATTATAAATAACTATAATTTCGATAATAATAATTATTTGGTAATTAGAATAGTTTTCATAATAATTATTCGATAATTACAAATTCGATAAATAATTACTTAACTCAATTTAAAAAATAATTAATTATTCAATCAAGTAAATAATTAACTATGAATTATCTGAAAAATTAATTACTAAATTGAGAGTCTGTTGGAGGGGGATAGCCTAGTGACTTTTTAAAAATCCTACTTTCAAGTCTGTTGGAGGGGGATAGTCTAGTGACTTTTTAAAAATCAATTAATTATTTAAACAAACAATTATTTGTTCAATTAATTATTTAAACAAACAATTACTTATTTAATTAATAATTTAATCAATCAAATTATTATTCAAATAATTGAATATTCAATAACTTAATTAAGTAGGTAAATAATTAACTATTGAATTAAAAAAATTAATTACTCAGCTAATTAAGCAATTATTTATTCGAAAAATTAAATAATTACTTATTCAATTAAGCAAATAATTAATAATCCAATCAAGTAAATAATTATCTACGAATTGTCTGCAAAATTAATTATTAAATTGATTCTGCAATTATTTATTAAATTAATGAAATAATTATTCATTTTATTAATCGATCAATGAATTATTCAATTAAGTGAATAATTGCATATTTATTAAATAATCAATCATTGAATTAATTCAAATTAATATTTGAAATAAGTAAATAATATTTGTTTATATAAATAAAAAAAGAAAAATTAATATTTTCTTTTTATTTATATAATATTTTGTAATTATTTAATAATTATTTAATTTACCATCGATATTTACTATCGATCAGCTATTTGAGTCAAATAATTAAGTGATAAATAATTATTTGATTGTCAAGTCATTATTTAAATTAAACAATTTCTTCATCCAATGCAATATTAAAATTGATATTATTAAATTTAGCGGAAAAATTGTCGATACAGTAATGCCTTTAAATTTAAAACATTTACAGTTCACGCGAGGCTTTAACAACTTTTTCATCATAAATCATAAATCACAGATCGTTTCAACGTTGACTCTCTAAAGTACATACGTTGATTCATTCTGATACACATACATTTTTGCCGACTCATTCGCAATTATTTCAAAAATTATTATTTTTTTTTTTTGTTTTTTTTCATCAGCCATAATATTTCTGTATATATATACATATATAATCTAAATTATATATTTATATATATAGAGTCAATTAAACTATTCAGTTTCCCATTATATTTTTTTTTTTTTTTGTATTAAAAAGTAAATTTGCAACTACTGTAAATTGTATTTTTAATTTTTTTTCTTTACAATAGGCTCGATAAAAATGAAACACTTTTTAAGTAACATAAGCTCTCTAGATGCTAACTAGTTAAAAAATACAACGAGAAAGATGTAAAGATCAGTCTGTATTATTAATAAATACTGTAAGATCGTTCATTTATAGTTATATAATTTAAATCAAAATAGAGTTAAAAATTAACCTATTTATTTTTTAATGGAATGCTATAATAGTAAATACTATAAGTAAAGAGACTTTGTAAGTCATCTGGTCTTCAAAAGTTACTTAATTTTTTTTTTCTTTTTTTTTATATTGAAGATATTTCATCAAACGACAGTCACTGTCAAGAGTTAATAATTTAATAAGATAATGTTTAAAATTCAATGACTCTCTTCCTAACGGAGGAAAATTTGTTTTTCACAGAAAACACAATTAGCAAACTTTCACTGTGCGGAAAGTCTTTTTTTTAATTAAAATTTAATTACATTTTCCTTCAAATATCGATTTTTTAAAATGCAATTTTGATGAAACTTGATTAAAACGAAAACGTCTAGACGATTTGAGAATTATTTAAAATTAATTGAATAAAAACAGGGTTGCCACAAAAAATTAATTTTGTTTTTCTCCGATTTTCAGCGAGAATTTTGACTTTTTCCTTTATTCCTCAAAAAAAATATATTAAAACTTCTAGTTCAAAATAAAATTGGTTATTGTGTCAAACTTTCTTCGATTATTTTTTAAAAATCCCATAAAATTCTTAATAAGTTCAATTATTTTTTAAAGAATTTTAGAAAATTTCAATTATTTTCCAAAAATTTCAATTACTTTAAAAGTTTAAACAATTTCAATTATTTTCCAAAAATTTCAATTACTTTAAAAGTTTAAACAATTTCAATTATTTTCCAAAAATTTCAATTACTTTAAACAATTTCAATTATTTTCCAAAAATTTCAATTACTTTAAACAATTTCAATTATTTTCCAAAAATTTCATTTACTTTAAACAATTTCAATTATTTTCCAAAAATTTCATTTACTTTATACAATTTCAATTATTTTCAAAAAATTTCAATTACTTTAAACAATTTTAATTCTTATTAATTCAATTATTAATAATAGAACTAAAATATTTTAAAAATCATATTTTTAAGAAGTTTAAACAAAATTAATTTCTAAATATCTATTAGAAAAATTTTAAATCGTAATTCTTTCAAAATAAAATTATTTTATTCAATTACTTATCAATTATCATTAAAATTCTTTGAAACTTCGATTGTTTTCTAAATCTCAAAAAAAATTTTTGAACAAGTTGTACTATTTTTAATAAATTTGTAGAGTATTTTTAATAAAATTTTACAGAGTTCCAATTAATTTGTTAATTTTTAAATAACTTTTTTTTAAGAGTCAGATATCTTTAAACAATTCACTTTAATTTTCTTAGAAATTAAACTTTTCCAGAATTTTAAATAAAATTATTTAAAACTTGAATAGTTTTTTAAATAAATATTTAATGAACAAATTGCATTATATTTAATAAGAATTCACTTAATTTGTTAATTTGCAAAAAAAAAAATATTTTTAAAAATCAAGTTTTTTCACTTCAAATCTTTAAACAATTGAATTAAAATTCCTTAAAAATACATGTTTTTAAAATTTTTAATAAAATTATTTAAAATTTGAATAATTTATATAAAAAATATTTAATTAACAAATTATGTTACATTTAATAAAATTTCACAAAATTTCCATTAATTTGATAATTTTTAAACTTTTTAATAAAATTTTTTTTAAAATGTAAGAATTTTGAAACAATTTAATTAAAATTTCTTAGAAATCCAATTTTTTCAAAATTTTAAATAAAATTATTTAAATCTTGAATTACTTTTAAAATAAATAATTTAATTACTAATTTCTTCACAGCAATTGAAATTTCTAAGAATTTTAGTTTTGAAACCTTATGAAATTTTCACTTATTTTTGAAAATTGATTTTTTTCAACTAAAATCTTTTTTGAGTTAAATGAAGTTGAGAATTTTAATTTAAAAAAAATTTAATTGTAATTTAATTTAATTTATTTATTATTTATTTAATTTGTAGAAATTTTATTTAATTTTCTTTTTCAAAAATATTTGTTGACACCAACAAACAGAATTTAATTATTCAAAATATATTTATTTATTAACTGAAATAAGAAAAAAGACATTGTTTTAAAATATTAATTATGCGATTCAAAAGTTTTTAAGTTGAAAAAAGAATCAAAAGAAGAAATTAAGATTTTGTTTTTCAATTAAATATTTTTTTGACACCAAAAAGCAGAATTTTTGTAGTAATTCTAAAATTTTGTTATTTTTTCAGTTTCTTTTGATAAAATTCCCTGATATTTCCCTGAATTCCCTGGAAAATTTCATTTTTCCTAATTTCCCTGACTTGTGGCAACCCTAAAATAAAAAAAATATTTCGTCAATTTAAAAAAACTTTTTCAAATCAAGAAAAATAAATAAAAAAAATAAAATATTTTCTCAATAATTTAACAATTGTCAGAGACTGTTGTCGACATTTAAAAATGTCAATTATTTAAAAATAATGGAATGCCAAAGGCTTTTGTTTATAGCGTATTAAGAGAATAAATTCTAGAAAAATTCTTTGACAGGTGTGAATTTTTTTTTTCCTCCTCTCATTAATAATTAATTTGAAAAAAGTGTCTTGAAAATGCTGTGTGTGTGATATGGAAAACTTACAGAAATTCGTTTATATATACACCATATATATATATATATATATATATATATATATATATATTTTTGTAAATTTCTGCATGGAATAAAGAAGCCCCACGTAAACTTTTCGCGTTTCATTATAACATGGAAATTTCAAAATATTTTCCCATATGCATAAATATATTCCCTATAAATATATTACTGCATAAATATTCATATGCAAACATTAACATAGGACAATGCTTCCATTTTTTTCTCGTATTGACAATAGAAAATAAATAAAACAAAATAAAAAGAATTTAAAAAATAAATCAAAGTTCGTCGAACGAACTTCGGATTAATTATTAATAAATAAAAATAATTCATTAAATAAATAAAAATAAAAAATAGTTTTACTATTTTTAGTTTAAAAAAGAGTTTCACTAGTAAAATAGTAGCAAAATATTTTTGCTATTTTTCTACTTTAAAACTTGTGCAGTAATAATATTTTTTTTTCTGTTTTGAAAAGAAGAAAAGTTTTTTAGCTTATATTTTTTTCAATTTGTACTTTTTTATTCTTCAGGATTAGCCCGAGGAATTTATAAGCTAGATTAACTTTTAACTTTATGAAAAATTTTAATAGAAACTTTTGTCCTACATTAATTTTCATTTTTCTTTTAATAATAATTCTTGTCTTTTTCTCACCGAGTTTTACAATTCTACATATTTTTTTTTAGAGTTTGGTGCAGAGAAGCAGAATGCGTGATTATTTTGGTAGAGTTGGATATCACCGTTTCATCGACATTTTGAATTATTTTTTTTTTTGTTTTTTTGTATTTTTTTTTGTCTATATATCAGTCTGATTCTGTTTTTTTTTATAATATGCAAATTCAATACTTCTCGCACTTTTAAACTTCTCGCACTCCTGAGATTCTGTAAATTGTTCATAAAACAAATTTCTTCTTTTCTCATTTACACATGCTCTTTAATATGATTATTATAATCATCTCCATTACCTAAGCTGTCCAATTCCTGTTTTACCTCACATTTTTCGTTCGTCGTTTGATCGTCATTGTTATCGTCGTGGTCGTGGTGGTCGTTATGCTCATCATTCTTTCCATTCTCGTCATTTTGAAATACATCTATTATCCTTTGTTCGATTGTTAATTGTCTAACTGCACTTTCTAAATTTCCTTTTAATATCGAATTTGCTCCGTACAATTGTCGCCACGTGTCCGGTATAAATGTCATTCGCACCATTTGATAAAATTTGTTGAATCCTAATTTTCTATAGAGACTTTGACTCGCTTCATTTTCTGGACGTATCACAACGAATGGACTGTAGCCGCGGTCGGCGACTGTTTTCGTCAGGTATCTGAAGGAAATGGGAGAATTTTTTTTCAATTAATCACTAAATGAATAATAATATTATTAAAAATTAATAGAAAAATTATAAATTAATAAAAAAAAGTAGAAATTAATAGAAAAATTAGAAATTAATGAAAAAAAGTAGAAATTAACAGAAAAATTAGAAACAAATACTAGAAATTAAAAAAATAATGATCCACAAGTTTTGAACGTTCAAAGAGACGGAAGATTATTCACTAAAAATATTTTCATAAAATAATTGCAATAAAAATTAAAAAATTAAATTTTACAGTTAGAAGTTTTATAATTAATTCTTATTTTGTGACCAGGCCTGGGATCGATTTTAAAAAGCAAAAATACTTTTGTTAGTCAGTTCAAAGTACAAAAAAAAAAAAAAATTGGAATAGTCGTTTATTTTATTCCGAGTTATCACCAAACTAATATTTTCTACTTCTGTGACTTTTTCATAATTTCCAGAAAATTCTTTAACTTTTTTCCTTATTCCAATTTATAATAACTATAAGTTTTTGTAAAATTGAATTATTTTCAACTAACTGTTTAATACACTTCTTATCATTTTTCTTCAAAAGAAACGATTAATTTTAAAAATTGTAATTAAACTTTTTAATATCTAAAATTTATTTCAATTATAAAAATTTAATTATTCTAAAATCTAAATTCTTCTAAATTGAATTATTTTTTAAAATTTTTAACTAGTTTTTGAAAAGTTTAATAATAATTTTTTAAAAGAAGTATTTAATTGAAAAATAAATTAAAATAATGAAAAAATGAAAAATTTCCGAACAAATTCAAGTATTTAATTATTATTAACAAATTAACAAATATTTAATAACAAAATTTAACTGAAATTCTCAAAAAATTTCATTTTTAATCTTCTTAAAAATTTAAATATGTCTAAAAATTGATAAAAAAATTTTCCAATATTGAATTAATTTCTTGAATTTTTAACTATAATTCTTCTCTTATTCAATTAACTTTCATTATTTTGAGAAAAATTTTCAGAAAATTTTGAGAATTTTATTATTAAAAACAAAAGTTCATTTAAAAATCTTGAAAATTCAATTCTTTTCAATTCAATATTAAGAAATTTCAATTACTGGATAGTTTTTTCAAATTTAAGATTATATATTTAAAGATTTAAATAATTTCTCCAAATTTTGAACTAAAATTTTTCAAAAAACGATGTTTGTTGCAATTTTTAATTAAAAGTTACCCTTAAATTCAAATTATCGAAAATTTTAATTTGAAACTTCTTAAAAATATTTCTCCAAATATTTTTACTAAAATTTGCTAATATTGAATTAATTTTCAGAATTTAACACTAAAATTACTCTCTTAAATTATTTTCATTATTTTGAGAAAAGTCTTTGAGAATTTAATTTTTAAAAACAAAAATTCATTTAAAATTCGTCTAAAATTCAATTATTTTCAATTCATTACAACGAAATTTCGATTATTCGCTTGTTTTTTAATTTCAGAGTAAATATATTGAAAAATTCGACTAATTTCCAAAAGAATTTAAATTAAATTTTTAAAAAACTGTGTTCTTTGGAACTTTTAATTAAAGTTCCTCTAAATTTCAATTCTCGAAAATTTTAATTTGAAACCTTTTGAAATTTAATTATTTCTACAAATTTTTACAAAACTTTACTATTAAATTATTTTCTAGAATTTCGAACTGAAATTCTTCTCTAAATTAATTATTTTTTACAATTCTGAGAAAATTCTTCGAGAGTTTAACAAATTGAAAAAAAGATTAATTTAAAATTCGTCTAAAATTCAGTTCCCTTCAATTAAATTTTACGAAATTTCTATTATTCTCAAGTATCTTAATTTAATAACATATATTTTCCAGAATTTTTAACTGAAATTCTTTTTTAAATTAATTATTTTTTACAATTCTGGGAAAGTTCTTTGAGGGTTTAATAATTTAAAAACCAAAGTTCATTACAAATTCGTCTCAAATTCAATTTTAAGAGATTTCGAATTAGGAAATTAGTTGAATTTTTAAAGACATTTTATTAAATTAAGAAATTAAGAATTAAATTTAATTTGAACTCAAATTTTTCCAAAAAAAACTATTTTCTTTGGAATTTTTATTTAAATTTTTTGAAAATCCTGAAAATTCAAATTTTCAGAAATATAAATTTGAAACCTTTAGCAATTTAATTATTTCCCAAAATTTTTACTGTAACTTTTCCAATATTTATTTTCTAGAATTTTTAACTGAAAAATCTTGTCTACATTAATTATTTTCAAAAATTTTCAGAAATTTATTCTAGAATTTAAATATTTCATTTCATTATCATTTACAAAATACAAAAGTTCATTTCGAATTCGACTTAAATTCAATTCTTTTCAATTCAATTTTAAGAAATTTCGTTGATTGGAAAGTTCTTTAATTTAGTAACATATATTTAACAATTTAACTAATTTCTAAAAGAGTTTGAACTAAAATTTTTCGAAAAACTAGTTTCTTTTAAATTTAAATTTAAATTTTCTCAAAATTCAAATTTCAGAAATCTTAATTTTAAATCTTTGGAAATTTAATTATTTCCCAAAAATTATATTTATTTTCTGAAATTTTAAACTGAAAAATCTTCTCTAAATTAATTATTTTCATCAATTTTCAGAAAGTTATTCGATAATTCAAATATTTAAATTCCTAAATAAAACCTAATTCTATTTTTTTTTAAAGAATTGCAAACATTTGTAATTTTTCTGACCTGCGTAAAAATTAAAAAAAAAATGTAAAAACAAGTCCAATTCATAAATAAATTTAAAAAAATAAATTAAATTAAATTAAATTAAAATTAAATTAAATTAAAAGTAAATTAATTAAATTAAATTAAATTAAATTAAAAAATTTTATTTGACTTTTTAGGTAAAAAAAAATTTGACAAATTGAAATGAAGGAGTTACGAATTAGAACCGTTTTTAAGTATCAAAATAAAACAAAATAAATATTTAATACCCAAAATTGGTTCTCAATTGATCCCAATTATTAGAATTTAACAATTATTTTTTTTACAGTAAGAACGAAAGGACTGAGTGACGCAAAAAATATTGCAATAAAATTTTAACTTCAAGTATAGAAAATAAACTAAAATATTTCAAGTAGAAATAAAATAAAATAAATTGGTTCTAAATTAATCCCAATTATTGGAATTTTGTCAATTATTTTTTTACAAAAGAACTGAGTGACGCAAAAATTATTGCAATAAAATAAAAATTCGCCAGTTTGAACGTTTAAAACTTCAGAACCATAAAGAAATCTCAAAAAAAAAAAAAAAAAAAAATTGAGGAAAAAAATGGTTACTTTGCTAGTCGTAATCCATAGCCTTTTCTTCGGTGTTCGGGTTTGGTTTGCATGGAAAACATTGCTCCATAATATGACTGCACCATCCAGGCGGCGAGTTTTCCATTAACGAAAACACCGGCACCTGGTAAAATCCTAATGAGTCTTAGAAACACCTCTTGACATTCCATGTCATTGGCAGGATACAAATCGTGGATGCATTCCGCATGCTCCGGTTTTAAAGGAAGAACCTAAAATACAGAAAAAAAAATTATTCTACAATCTATTTCTATTTTTTTTTCTATTTCTATATTTTCGATTTAGAAAAAAGGAAGAAAAAAAATTCTTACCTGTGATTCTGCAGGTACAGATTCATCTTCAAAATTCTCAATATTTTCAATATTTTTGATATTCTTACAGGACCAGACATCGCCAAGAACCTGCTCGACTATTCCAATGCCATTGTAGAGTCGAATTAGTTCATCGGAAATTAGCGAATGAACAAAATTAATGTACAGTGGTCTTGACCAATCGATTAAAATATCCTCGTCCTGCATGATCCTTAATAATTCCAGTTGACCAATAGGACAGAATACGCCAACGCTCTCGTAAAACAGACCGTGAGGCTGAAAATATAGACAATCAATTTTTATTCACTCCACAATCACAATAATCACAATAATAATAAAAAACAAAAATAATACTCCATGAAAATAGTCAGAAAGTAAAACTAAAAATAAATGCAAATAATAATAAATAATAAATGAGAATAATAATAAATTAAAATAATGCTAAATAAAAATGACAATAAATAAAAGTAATAATAATAAATAAAAATAATTTAATAAAAAAATAATAATAATAAAAAATAAGAATAATAAAAAAAAATAATAATACAAAAAACTAATAATAATAATGAATAAAAATAATAATTATATTTAATTAAATGTTAATTATACAAAATTTTAATATCAATAATTTACCAAATCATTATCGAAATTAATTTATTAACCGATTATTATAAAATTTTATTACTATAAACTGTTAACGAAATTATCAATTTATTTTGTCCACTATTAAATTTATTGACAAAAAAGTAATTAATATTTATGTAAAATAATAAAGACTAAAATTTTGCTAATTATAATTTATTATCAACTAGCAAATGTTACGTGCGGAACGTGATATTCAATTTGTTATTGTTATGCAAATTAAAAAATTTTTTATTTTTATTTTTAAATAATTTGAAAATCAAAGTTGAAAAAATCCACTTATTAAGTACAAAATTAATTATTATTGTTTATATTTTCCAAATTTTTTAAATATAATTCTGCGCAGTAATTCAATTATTTTTATGCAATTATAATAACAATCTTCATAAGAATTCCATTATTTTTAAAAATAGTAAAATTTTTTGCATAAATTCAATTTTTTTGTAAAAAATTTTAATAAAATTTTCCAAAAGAATTCAAATATTTTCTAAAATTTTAATAAATCCTTCTAAACATTACAATTATTTTTTTTAAATAGTAAAATCTTTGCAAAAATTCAATTATATTTAATAAAATTTCACGATAGAATTTAATTATTTTTTTAATTCGTTATAAAATTTTTCAAAAGAATTCAATTATTTTCTAAAATTTTAATAAATCCTTCGCAAGAATTCAATTATTTTTATAAATAGTAAAATTCTTTGTAGTAATTCAATTATTTACAAAACAATTTTAATTCAATTCCTCGGAAGAATATTCAAATATTTTCAAATATTTCCATAAAATTCAATTATTTTCTAAAATTTTAATTACACGAAAGAATTGAATTATTTTCAAAAATTCCCGTAAAATTCAATTTCAACAAGAATTTAAAATTCTTTAAAAAATAATTCAATTATTCTCAAAATATTTTTAAAAATTCTAAATGAAAATTAAATTACTTTCAATGCAATTTTTAAATATATTATTCGTCAAAAAAATTGAAAGAATTCAATTTTTTTTCAAAAACTAATAAATTTCTTCTAATGAATTCAATTATTTTATATATACTTAATTTTAATTAAATTCTTTATAGAAATTTAATTATTTTCGAAACAACTTCAATTGAATTTCTCGAAAGAATTTAATTATTTTCAAATATTTCTATAAAATTCTTCAAAAACAAATCAATTATCAGTTAAATATTTCTAATAATAATTTATTTCCAATTAAATATTATTAACAATTAATTTATTGTCAATTAAATATTTTTCATAATAAATTACAATTGCTAATGATAATAAATTATTAATGAATATTGTACGATTGAGTTTCGTGAAACGAACATTTAATTTAATTACAACCATTAAATTAATCATTAAACTTTGGAATTGTGCGATTTATAAAAAAATTACGATCGTCACATTTGTATTTATTATTAACAATTAAATTTAAAATATTGTCGCGCATTTAAGATTTGAATTTCATTTATGTATTATTTTTTGTTTTTAATGCTTTAATGAACTTAATAATTTTTTAAACAAATACGTTTAATTATTATTTTCATTTTCAAACGGTGTTTAAATAAATAAAAAAAAAAATTTATTTAATTCAAATAACCGATTACTTGCCTATTCTCAAAGAAATATTCACTTTAATCGAATAATATTTATTTAAATCAAATAAATTGTATTTCAAACAAATAAATTATATTTGAACAAATAATTTCAGTATTTGAAGCAAATACCATTTAATCGGATCTAAATAAAAATTATATGATTCAAGTAAATATTTATTTGATTGCTGTTGACAAATAATCTGCTACTTGAATCAAATAATTTTTTTTCAATGTATTATTAGAAATTGTTTTTAAATAATTATTACTATTAGAAATATTCCACTGATTAACGCAATACTATTTAAAATATTTATTTGATAATAAATTACTATTAATCAATTATTAATAAATCAAAGAATTTTAACAAAAATAAAATGAAAATTTTGCCATTATTATTATAGAAATACTTCCTCTATGAGGAAGTAATATTTAATTGATATAATAAATTATTAATCAATTATTAATTAGTTATTATTAAATCAGAGAATTTCAATAAATCAAATGAAAATAAAGCTTTACCATTACTATTAAAAATATTTAATTGATAGTGATACATTATTATTAATTAATTATTAATTAATATTACATCAAGGAATTTGAATAAATTAAATTAAAATTTTACCATTATTATTAAAAATATTAAGTTAATATTAAATTATCATTAATTAATTAATAATTAATATTAAAAAACGAAATTTTAATAAATTAAATTAAAATTTTACCATTATTATTAAAAATATTTAGTTGATAATAAATTATCAGTAAATTAATATTAATGAATTATTAATTAAATACTAATTAATTATTAATTAATCAGAGAATTTTAATGAATTAAATCCTAAATTTTAATTAAAAAAAATTTGTATTGCTTCGAAATTTCTTAGATATTATATAAAAAATTGATAATTGAGAAAATTTTCCAGAATAAAGCAGTAATTAGTGCGATGATGTTGCGTTGATTAACGACAGAGCAGTGACATTGCCAGGATTTTGGCGATAATTTCTATATATGTATATATGTATATATATATACATTATTAGAATTAGTGCTGATAAATGCGTTCTTAAAGAGGGGGTGAGGTCGAGGACGAAAGACGAGGAAACAGAAACAAGAATCGCTGGCGATTAGCCAAATGACAAAATCAACCTAAGGGTTCATTTTTTCTATTTTCTTTTTAAACTTTTCTCTCTTTCTCTCTCTCTCTCTATATATATATATAATGTGGAATTTTTTCACTTATTGGATAAAAGTTTTTCAATTTGTATTTATCGCACACAATACTTGTAATTTTAACTCTTTCGCGAAAGAGAAATTTCTTTTCTTTTTCTTTTTTAAAGAACATTTCTATATTATCACGAAAAAAGAAATTCTGAAAAATTACCCCAGGGTGAATATTATTAAAACTGGTGTCAGCTTCGTGACTCACATTTCACCTTTTATTCTTGATTAAGTGATGTAGTTTCTTTTTTCAGTGAAAAGTGTTCCTTTAAACACGTCGTTTATTTTTTTTTTTACTTTCATCTATTTTTAAACAATTTTACTTTTTTTTTTGCAGAAAAATATTTTTTTTTTTTGCTGCAACAAATTTTTGGGTTTTTTTTCAACTAGAGATTTATTTTTCAAGGATTTTCGTAAAGACTCTTTTGCTTACTATTTATTATTATTTATTGTGTTCTTCTTTAATCTATTTTTCAATAATTTTTCATTTTTTTTTTTTTTTTGTTAATGTAGAAAAATATTTCTTTCCTTGGGAGAATTTTTTTCGTTCAGTGAAAATTTGGCTGTTTTTCAATTATAAAGATTTATTTTACGATATTCGGGAAATATTGTTTGTTTATTATTTTTTCTATGATCTATTTTTTAATATTTCTATTAACTTTTTTTTTGAATGTAGAAAAATATTTCTGCCGTTAGGAAATTTTTTTCATTCAGTAAAAATTTGAAAGTTTTTTCAATTAAAAATTTATTTTACAACGATATTCGGGAAAAATTGTTTGTTTATTATTTTTTCTTTGATCTATTTTTCAATATTTCTATTAACTTTTTTTTTCGAATTTAGAAAAATATTTCTTTCGTTGGGAAATTTTTTTTGATTCAGTGAAAATTTGAAGGTTTTTTTTCAATTAAAAATTTATTTTTCATCGATATTCATGAAAAATTTATTGTTTATTATTTTTTCTTTAATCTATTTTTAAACAGTTTTCCTTTTTTATTCAAAAATTCAAAATTATTTTAAATAGTAGGTACAAAAATTCTTTTTAATAAAAATATACAAAAGGAAATACAAAAAATATCCAAAACATAGGAAAATAAAAATTTTTTAAATAAAAATCAGCAAATGAATAAAAATATGTGAAAAAATATTTTCATTTATTTTTATTGTCTTAATAAAAAAATAAGCTCGACAGATATAAATAAAAAATAAGAAAAATATGCAAAGAAATAAAAATATACAGAAGAAAATACAAAAAAAAAAATAGAAAAATAAAAATACACAAAAACAATATAAAATAATAAAAATACACAAAAAAATATAAAATAATAAAAATATACAGAAGAAAATAAAAAATAAAGTTTGTGAAAAAAACTAAAAATATAAAAAATAAAAAAGTAAAATAAAAATTGCTTTCTATTTATATAAACTTGAAAATTTATTTTACGATTTCTGTCGACTCTGGATTCTATTATTAGCTTTAAAAATTAAATGGAATTAATTTAAAATAAACTTACGGCAAGTGTCATCCCTGGAAAATGCAAACAAACCGGAACCTCTGGCCATTCATTGGCAACGTAAAAATGAAATTCCCATACTCGATGTTTCATGTAAGTCAATACGGTTTGATGAAACTGAAAAAATCACAAAGAAATTAGTTCACCTTTGTTTTAAAAATTATCTACATTTATTTAAATATCTAAAGAACAAAAAAATAAACCAAAATATAGAAAAATAAAAAAAAATAAAGAAAAATAATTAAAAATAAAAATAAATAAAAATATATAAAATTAAATAAACATAAAAATAAATAAAAATAAAACTATATACAAAAATAAAAATAATTATTTTAAATTTACCAAATTTTGACATTTCAAAAAAAAATTCTAATTTTCGAGTAATTATTTTAATTGCTCACCATAATTACAATGTACAAGAAAGCAATAAATAATTTTTGGAAAAAGAGCCAGTAAAATTAATCCTCATAAATAAGGCATTGTTGGGGAGAAAAAAAAACTGAAATTTACATATTTCTTTTGGCAAATTATTTATTTAGAAAAAAATATATATCCTCTCTAATTTTCAAGCTATTCAGCATACTTTGTCACGCGAATAAAATTACATCTGATTAAATAAACTCGAAAGTAACACTTAAAATTATAATAAGTTTAAAATATTTATTATTTACCCGAGTGAAAATTAACAGTCAGTGCGGGAAAATGATTAAATCAACATTGCAGAGAATGAGGTTTTTTTTCTGTTTTTGGAGCAAGAGAAAAAAAGGGCGAAAAAAATTCTGATTACTGTATGTGACGAACAGGAAATGGAAAATTTGTTTCAAGACAAAATATAATGAAAATTAATTATTAATGTAGATCAGTGTATTTAAGAGTAGTTTAATACTGAAAATAAACCCGTCTGCATCTAGACATGTATGCATTCCAACTATCGAAAAGGCGATTGAGGGTCAAGGTCGAGTCCTGACTCACGCGAAGGTTTTTCGTTCTCCTGAACGAAATCGATGGAACCATATGCATGTGTGTATGTGTGTTTTTGTCAAAACAAAAGAAAAGACCGAGGATTTTTTTTTTTTTTTTTTTAATAATATTTTCGATTAAATTTGATTTGATTGATATGAGAGAAAGAGAGAGAGAGAGAGAGAGAGAGAGAGAGAGAGAGAGAGAGAGAGAGAGAGAGAGAGAGAGAGAGAGAGAGAGAGAGAGAGAGAGAGAGAGAGAGAGAGAGAGAGAGAGAGAGAGAGAGAGAGAGAGAGAGAGAGAGAGAGAGAGAGAGAGAGAGAGAGAGAGAGAGAGAGAGAGAGAGAGAGAGAGAGAGAGAGGAGAGAGAGAGAGAGAGAGAGAGAGAGAGAGAGAGAGAGAGAGAGAGAGAGAGAGAGGAGAGAGAGAGAGAGAGAGAGAGAGAGAGAGAGAGAGAGAGAGAGAGAGAGAGAGAGAGAGAGAGAGAGAGAGAGAGAGAGAGAGAGAGAGAGAGAGAGAGAGAGAGAGAGAGAGAGAGAGAGAGAGAGAGAGAGAGAGAGAGAGAGAGAGAGAGAGAGAGAGAGAGGAGAGAGAGAGAGAGAGAGAGAGAGAGAGAGAGAGAGAGAGAGAGAGAGAGACAGGAAACGAGGAATTTGATACCAATATGTAAAGATCGATCAGGAAAATATTTTGGCAGAGACACTTTTGACGAGAAAATAATTTTTCTATTTTAAAATTAATTTCCTCAGTAGAATTTTTTTAAATTAAAATTCAAAAATTGATTAATAAATAAATTTACTTATTATTAATAAATAAAAAATTGTTTGTCCCACAGAAAAGGAACACTTTTAACGAAAATATTTTTCCGCTTTTTAAAAATTAACTTTTCCCAATAAAAATAAAATTTTTCAAACTAAAAATGCTAAAAATCAATTTTATTAGTTGTTAAAAAAATATAGTTTTAAATTAATTTTTTCAATAAAATCTTTTATTCCTAAAAATTCAAAAATCCTTAATAAATAAAATATAATTATTGTTTTTTAATAAAAAGGCCTAAATATGCCAAAAAACCATATTTTATTAAAAAATAATTAGAAAACGGTTTCAACGAAAAAGCAAATTTTAAATTTGTTACTATAATAATTAATTATTATTAATTATTGCAAAAAAAAATATTTTTTCCCATTGAAATGAAACAATTCTTAACGAAAATATTTGTCTCTTTTTTGAATTAAGTTTTTCATTTTTCATTTTTTCAAATACGAATACAAAATTAATTTTATTAAATAAATCCAACTATTAACAATTTACGTAACTAATTAATTAATAATTATTATATTAAAAAAAGAAATAATAAAAATTAAAAAATTAAGAATAAAACAATTTTAGATTATTCGTACAATAATTTATATTTAATTTCATACAATAATTATTTCTACTGCTTACTATAATTTTCCCTTCGTCCTTGATTTTTTTATACACTTTTTTTCCCAAAATTATTGATTTTTGAAATACGTTTTATTGTTGAAACTATAGAGTAAATTTACGATTCTACCAAAATTTTGGCATTCGATTAAAAATAAAAAGTTTTTTTCGTTTTTTGCAAATATAATATATATAAAAAAAATTGTCTTGTTTGGATCATAAAAATTCTAATAATGTTGAAAAAAAGATTAGTTTTCACGACATAAAAAAACTGGTGCCTCAAAGGGATAATTAAATTCTTTTTTTTAATACCTGCGCAAAAAAGTTTCCTCTCATGTTAAATAATAAATTATTAGAGAAAAAATTTCAACTTTTAAGTTAGGTAGGTATATAATCAAAGTTGTGTATAGTGTGATAAATTAATTATCTTGATGGATTAATTCAGAAAATAATTAAATCAAAAAACTTTGAGAAATCTCCATAGGTGCATAATTTTTGTATGAATTCTATTCGTTAGTAATATAAATTAATTACAACAATATTTTATTTATAAAAAGAAAGAGGAAAAAATTCGAAATATAATAAAATCTCGAGCAAAAAATTAATTTATTTTTAATTATTTAATTAATAAGTAGGTAAAATAAATAATAAAATAATTTAAATCTTTAAATTTTTAGAAAAATATTTAAAACTAAATTATAAATAACTAAATAAATAAACTAAACAATAAATATTTGTTTTCTAAAAAAGTGATACTTTATTTATGCATTGTGTGGAGAAAAAAAATCGAAAAAATCGCATTTTATTAAAATAAAACGAAAAAGTGTCATTTTTTGAAAAACAGAATTAGAAAAAACTGTCGAAAAAAAGGCATTGAATCAAAAAGTTTGTGAATCGAGTTTTTTATTTTTAGAAATAAGAAAAAAAAATAGGGTGATGATGACGGTGTAATATACACACTTGATATGGGAGATTAAGTAGACGTTCCATTAACAAGTTTGTACCTGTTGATTGATTGATATAGAGGTTCTAGTTTAATTCAATATCCCTGTCTATATATTCAAAACAGCCTTTCCATATCGATATTCCATTCGATGCGCACAATTAATTTGTATCAACATTTTTCCCAATTCCAAATATATCTTTCTTCAAGTTAAATATCAAAAAATTAAATAATTTGCAAATTCCTAAATATATTCCACGTTAAAATCCCCCCCCCCCCCGCTTCTGTTGGATGCAAACAATTATTAAGAACAAAATTTTTAATGCCAAAATATTTTTTCTAAACAAGAAAATTGATACGAAATTTTTACAATTTTTTTTTTTAAATAATCCCCCCTTTAAAAAATATAATTTATCAACTGAAATAGAAGAAAATAATTTTTCTATTAAATGCTCAAAGAATTTTCCGGCAAAATTGTAATTGAAAAAAAATTAAATTAAAAATTCCCTTCCGGAAAAAATGATAATTCCAAAGAACAATAATTTCTCTCAAAAAAATATTTTCTTTACTGGAAATTATTTTTTTCCTTCTATTTTGATAATAGAATTTAGAAGAAAATTCATGTTCTCTTTTAATTTAGTCGACAAATTATATTTTCTTGTTGTCATTATTTTTATTATTTCTATTTTTTTCGAATTACAACTTTTTCGAATAAAAAAATTTTTTTTTTTGCTTTTAATTCAGTTGACAAATTATTTTTTTAACTAAATTACAAGGAAAAAAAATTTTGCTCTCAAAATATTTGAAAAAATTATATTAAAAATTAGATTCTTTTCATCTGATGAATTCAAACAATTACATTTCGTATAAAATTAAACAATCATATTAAAAAAAATTTCCTAATATCTAAATAAATTTTTCTTTAAAGCAATTTTTTCATTTTTAAATCTTCTCTTTATAATAATTAAAAAAAAAAAAAAAAAAAATTGTTATCAAACTGAATTAAAAACAATAAATTTTCTCTCAAAGGCAGAAAACCAATATTCTTTCTTACGCTGAATTTTTATCATTTTATTTTAATCCGGAAAATTTTAATCTAAGTGTTTGTAAAGTGTATTTGAAAAGCAGAAAACAAAAGAAAAATCCGCATCGTGAATCAGCTGGATTAAAAGAAAAAAAATTTCTCTCAAAATGCTCTCAAGAATATAAGGAAAAATTATAATTAGCAGTGAAGAAAAATATATTTGTCTAGAAAATTTAATAATCGTTCTTAATTATTTAAACATTTTTTTCATTTAAATAATTTCTTTTAAATTACTTTTCTTTAAATTATTATTTTCTAAATTATTTTTTCTAAACTATTTTTTTCTAAATTATTTGTAATTATTTAAGGTTTGAAAGCATTTTGAAAAGCAAAAACGAAATTTACAATATTCCTTCTTCTGATGAATTCAAATAATTAAGAAAAATTTTTAATTTATCAAAATATCGTATTTAGAAAGCAACTTTTTAATTTTTAAATCTCCTTTTCATAATAATTCCCAAAAAAAAAATTTTTATCAAACTGAATGAAAAACAATAAATTTTCTCTCATAAATGCTTTCAAAATATCTGCAAAAATTAGATTAATTAGATTAAGATCGGATTAAAAATAAGATTCTTCTAACAAATGCAAACATAAAAAAGAATTTTCTTCAAAAAAATTTTTTAATTTTTGAATCTCCTTTTTATAATAATTCTCAAAAAGAAAAATTGTTTACCAAACTGAATGGAAAGCAATAAATTTTCTCTCAAATGCAGAAAACCAATATTCCTTCTTACGCTGAATTTTTATCATTTTATTTCCATTCGGAAAAATTTAATCTATACTAAGTGTTTGTAAAGTAATATATATTTGAAAAGCAGAAAACAAAAAAAAAAAATAAAATAAAAAAAAAATTCAAAAATCCGCATCGTGACAAGGTCTATTATATTTTGCAGGTGCGGAATAAAGTCGAATGGATTAGAGGTCTTCGAGCTTACGAGGTCTCGCAATGCAGTGATACCAGCGAGTAGTTATTCAGGAGCAAACGAACGAACGACCTTGACATTGACTTCAACAGACATTGGTTTTACGTGGATTCCATTTTAATTTCAAGGACATTCGCTAAGACGATTTATCAAAAAAATATCAGTAAGTAGGTACCCAAAAAACTTTTGCTAAATATAAAAAGAAAACAAAAAAAAAACGGAAAATATTACTTTTTCTCTTCCTGGCTTCAAATCCAAAACACAAAAAAAGAAAATCTCAATTTTCCTCAAAAAAGAGCTTTTGTTCTCTTTAAGTTTTTCCTTTTTTTTTATCGATTTTCAACGAATATTAAAAGGAACAAAGCTTTAATCCTATCGTAAATGACGCCTGGATATATAATGAGAAAAATTTCTTTGTTAAAGGAATTTTTTTTTTGGTCCCTCTCTTCATTTTAGAATTCACTCGAGAATTTTAAATCGCAAAAATTTTGTCTGTTTACATTCGGCTTTTCAGTTTTTTTTTCTTCTTTTTCCCTTCTATTCATATGAAGTGCCTTTGTAATCTTTGAACTTTGTTTATATTTTAAATAATTATTATTGGACTAGAATATTTTTTATTCTCACTTTTATATAATTTTATCCATTTTAGTTTTTTTCGCTTTTTCCATTTTAGTTTTTTTCATTTTTTCCACTTTATTTCTTTACATCAATTTTATTATTTATTTTAGAATACCAACGATTATTTTATTACTTTTTTTTATTATTTTCCGATTATTTTCTTCCAATTTTCATGTTTTTTTTTAAACGAAAAAATGGAAATAAAATTTCCTTACAAAAAAAAATAATTTGTCAATTATTTTCCACTTTTGATAAATAAAAAAAATTGTCATTTTTGAAAAACAGTATTAGAAAACTATCAAAAAAGTCAATGAATAAAAAAATTTGTAAATCGAGTTTTTAATTTTGATAAACAAGAAATTTTTTTCTTATTTATGAAAATCAAAATAGGGAGATTTTAATGTGAAAAAAAGTAGAAATAAAATTTCCTTATAAAAAATTATTTTGTTAATTATTTTCCACTTTTGACAATTATTTTAAGGCGAAAAAAAGTAGAAATAAAATTCTTACGAAAGAATAATTTATTTTTCCTATTTTCTCTTAAAACAAAAAGAAAATATAAAAATAAAATTCCCTTACAAAAAAATAACTTGTTTATTACTTTCCATTTTCGCTAATTCATTCTAATACGAAAAAAAGTAGAAATAAAATTTCCTTATCAACTTCCATTTGTTTAAAAATTTTATTTTAAAACAAAAAAAACTTTCGAAATAAAATTACCTTACAAAAAATATAATTTTTTTATTATTTTCCATTTTTTTAATTTTCATTCTCCAGCGAAAGAATGGAAATAAAATTTCTTTACAAAAAATAATTTTCCTATTATTTTCTATTAATTTGTTACCATTTTTCCTATTTTATTTTGAAACCAAGAAAAAATATTTAAAATTAAAATTTCTTTACAAAAAAAATTACTTTTGCAAATTCTATTAATTTTTTTCCATTTTTTCTATTTTATTTTGAAACAAAGAAAAAAAATTTTAATTTCTTTGCAAAAAACTTACTTTTGCAAATTCTATTAATTTTTTTTCTATTTTTCCGATTTTAGTTTGAAACCAAAAAATAAAATTCCCTTACTTTACAATTAATAAATATATAAAAAAAAATTATTAATACCAAAAGTGAGAATTGTAAAAGAAGGAAATTAGTTCATTAAACTTGCGTCATTCTTCGACTATATAATCGTGAATAGAAAATACGAAAAAAAGAAAGGAATAGATTACCGAATTCAATATCCTTTAAAGGCCTTGTAAAATATTCTATCGACTTTCTTTAATATCAATTTATATTGAATTCTTTCTTTCTAGTCAAACAAGAAAAAAAAGAAAGAAAAAGAAAAGAAGAATATTTTATACAAATTTTTGCAATTCTGATTTAACCGCTAAAATTTATATTTCAAATTTATTATAATATTAGCCCAGAAAAAATTTCAGCAATTCATTTCTCATCAATCTTCTTCTATATATTTTTATTTTTTTGCTAAAACCAAGATTTTAAATAATTTATTTTTTTAAACAATAATTTAGTTTTTAATTTCGACAAAAGAGTTCATTTATTTCATAAATAATCAATTTAATAAAAATTATTACTATTACTATTGTTATTACTATTTTTATTATTATTTTTGGTATTATTATTAATATTATTATTAATTATTACTATTATTATTGTTACCATTATTTGTAATTACCTATTACTATTTTTATTACTGTTTTTATTATTACTATTATTTATTATTATTAATTTTTTTAATGTTAATTATAATTGTTATTATTTTTTTCCTAAATGATTAAAAAATACGATTTTTTTAACTCAAATTACCAAATTACTTTATTGTTTACTAAAACTGAAAACTACAATAAATTAAATATTTATTAATATAATTTTATCAATTCTGTATTATGCATTAGAATAACTGATAAGGGGAACTTTAACGGCGGTAATTTTATGTTTCGAGTACTTTTAAACAAAGTAGAAAAAAATTCATGAAAAATCGAATAAATTTCATAAAAAATAAAAAATTCACAAGTTTTGAACGTTCAAATGAACAGAATATTTTTTATTAAGAATATTTTCATAAATTTCTGATTGCAATAAAAATTTCAGAATTAAATTTTACATTTAGAAACTATTTAATTAATTAATTTTTTTCATAACATTGGCGTAAAATTATTGTAATAAAAATTTAATTTGAAGAAGTTTAATTCAGAAGTTTTAAACGTTCAAAACTTCTAAATAAAAAAAAAATTAATAAAAGAAAAGAAACAAACAAAAAAAGAAAGAAAATAAAATAAAGAAATAATGTAGGAAGGAAGAAAAATTGAAGGAAAAAAAAGAAAAATTATAGAAGGGAAAGAAAAGAAAAACAAATTAAAAGAAGAAAAATTAAAAATAAGAAGAAACAATAAGAAAGAAAAAAATTAAAAGAAGAAAAATTAAAAGTAAGACACAAATAGTACCAAAAAAAGGAAAAAATATTTTTAAAAATCCAAAATTAAATATAAATTCCAAATACCTTCAAAGCTTCCGGTAAATACTGCTTCAGAAAATCCAAAAGTTGTGGTAACTCTTCTGCAGTCAATAGACGAAATTTTCGACCTCGTTCGACCGCTTCGGGACACTCCATTCTGCAACTAATTAAGTAGCGCAATTACTTCAATTATTTATATTTTTTTTCTTTTTAAAAAATAATTTCAAATTTTCCTTATACTAGAAAAAAAAAATACAAAGCAAAAATACTTATTAACAACAACAACAAAACACACAGAAAATTTGTTTTCAAACAATATTTTTCATTTCGCAAAAAAAAAAAAATTTCTCAAAAAAAAAGAATGCCGAACACGAATTTTCTTTCGCACGTTTGCTTGTGCTCGGGACGAGAACGAGAAATGCACTGAAGGTCTGTAAAGTGCAATTAGGCATACAATATATGTATTAGAACAGGTAAGAATTAAAGAAGATAAATAGCGTGAGAGCAAAAAGAAAGCGCCGAGAATATATATAAGAAGTACCGCCCCAGGTTCAGGCCCAACGATGCAAATTTTTATGATCATTCTCTCTCTCTCTCTCTCTCTCGAGGCGATATTGACGCCTTTGCCAGTGTGTAACTCTTTAAAACCAAAGTGACAAAGAAAATTATAAATGAACAGGTATTTTCAAGGCCATATGATAAAAGGGGGGAAAAAGAAAGTAAAACCCCCCTCATATATACATAGAATGAGAAAATGTAGATGGAATTTATCTATAAGAGAAAAATCGTCTACCAAAAAAAAAGGAAAAAAGAAAAAAATCGAGAGTAAACCAGAGATAATTTTTTTCTACGCAAGGCAAAATAATTACGAAAGTGCAGCTTCTCGAGTGGAGAAATAATTTTTTCTTTCTTGGGAGAAAAAATTAGCCTTAAGTGAATTGAACCAAAAATAAAATTAACCCTTAAAAATAATTAAACAAAATGAAATAAACAACGAAAAACTTAAACCAAAAGAATTCAACTTGGAAAAAATTAAACTAAAAGAATTAAATTGCGAAAAAATTAAACTAAAAGAATTAAACTAGGAAAAAATTTTACTCAAAGAATTAAACTACGAAAAAATTAAACCATAAAAATTAAACTACTCTCCAAAATTGAATTATAGTACCTAAAACTGTTTATTAATTTTAATAAAAAATTTAATTAAACTAATAAAACTTTTTAGTTAGCTAAAAAAACTAAAAATTAATTGCAAAAAAAATTAAACTAAAAATTGTTAAACTAAAATATAATTAATAATGACGTTTGTAAATAAATAATTCCAAAAAAATTAACTTACTTTGTCTGTCTAAATTGAATGAATAAATAAAAAATGAAACTAGAAAAGTTAAGTTAAAAAATTAAACTACGAGAAAATTAAACTTAAAAAACAATCAAAGAAAATTAATCGACTTTACACGTATAAATTAAACAAATAAATAATTAAAAAAACTTGCACCAGAAAAAATTTTATGTAAAAAAATCAAACTAAAAAAAATTTAACTTTAGAAAATTAAACCAGAGAAAATTGACCTAAAAAATTTACACTAATAAAATCAAACTGAAAAAGAAACTTTATAACTTTAAATAAGAAAAAATTGAGTTAAAAAAATTGAACTAGAAAAAATTAAGCCCGTCTAAATTAAATAAATAATTAAAGTAATTAACAAAAAATTAAAAAAGACAAAATGTAATGAAAAGAAAAATGTAAATGAAAAATTAAATAAATTAAACTAGAAAAAAATTGACCTAAAAAAATTAAACTAAAATTAAACTGAAAAAAACGAAATTTAATTTTAAGTAATGAAAAAATTAAGTTAAAAAATTGAACTAGAAAAAATTAAACTCTATAATTAAATTGTAAAAAATTAAACTTAAATAACATTTCATAATCTAAACAAATTAACCATTTTTGCCGTCTAAATCAAATAAATTTTTTAAATAATTAATTAGGTCAATAAATAAATATAATTAATAAAAAATTAAACTACTTCGCCCGTATAATTAAATAAATAAATAAATAATGAATTCTGAATTAATACAAATTTGAACCAGAAAAAATTGAATGTAAAAAAATTATACTAAAAAAATTAAACTAAACAAATTAAAATAGAAAAAAATTTGACCTTAAAAAAAAATTAAACAAAATAATAACGCAGAAAAAAATTAAACTTTAATAAAATTACAAATTCTTGGAAAGAAAAAATTTTATTTAAAAAAATTGACAATATTATTGAATTCATTCGAAGAATTTTATTATTTATGAAAATAATTTGATTCTTGCGACGAATTTTATTAAAATTTTTTAATTCTTTTTAAGAATTTCTTTGAATTTTGTTAAAATAACGGAGTTTATTTAATAATTTTAATTGAAACTTTTCAAAGTAATTGAATTTTATAAACAATTTCATTCGAGTTTTTAAAATAATCATGTTCCTTAAGAAATAAAATAAAACATTCGATTATTGAATTTTATTAGAATTTCTAGAAAATAATTAAATTTTTCTTAGAATTTTATTACAATTTTCTAAAAATAATTGAATTTTTGCAAAGATTTTACTATTAAAAATAATAATTGAAACAATTCGAAGGATTTATTATAATTTTAGAAAATAATTCAATTTTTTTGTAAAATTTTATTAAAATTGTGCAGAAAATAATTGAATTTTTGCAAAAATTTTTAGCATTTATAAAAATAATTGAATTGTTTCGAAGGATTTATTAAAATTTTAGAAAATAATTCAATTCTTTCATGAAATTTTATTAAAATTGTGTTGAAAATAATTGAATTTTTGCAAAAAAATTTAGTACTTTTAAAAATAATTGAATTTTTTTGAAGGATTTATTAAAATTTTGGAAAATAATTCAATTCTTTCGTGAAATTTTATTAAAATTGTGTTGAAAATAATTGAATTTTTGCAAAAAATTTTAGTATTTATAAAAATAATTGAATTTCTCCGAAGAATGTTATTATTTATGAAAATAATTCAATTCTTGAGAAGAATTATATTAAAACTTTTTATAAAATATAACCGTTTAAATTAAATAAATAAGAAAATAAACAACTTAATAAATAAAAACCTAAACTGAAAAAATTAAAAAAAATATATTAAGATATTAAACTGAAATAAACTTAGTGACATTTGTATATAAATAAATATAAAAATTAACTTTTTCCCCCTAAATTAATAAAAAATTAAACTAAAAATTTATATATTTATTTATATTTAAACAAGAAAAAAATTACAAACAAAGCCAGAAAAAGTTTAATTTGCAAACATCATATAATTAAGTAATAAATTTTATATATAAATTAATAAAAATTAAACTTGAAAAATGTTTCGAAAAATTCGAAAAAAAATCGACAACAAACAATTGAACCGAAAGAGAATAAAAGAAAAGACAATGAACGAAAAAAGTTAAACTAAAAAAATTGACCAAAAAAAACCAAATTAAACGACAATGAAATTCAACCGAGAAATTAAATTGAAAGAAAAAACTAAATTGACAAAAATAAATCATCTCTTCTCATATAGTATCTATATATTATTAATTCTTGAAAAAGAAGAATAAGCAAAAGATGAGAGAGAAAAAATTGCTCAAAGAGCAGGCTTTTTATTGATTATCATATATGAGGTCGATTGATTGACCAAATAAAAGATTCAATGAAAATCTCCTCAAGTATTCAAGATATAAGAGTGGAAAGGCAAGATAATTTCATCTTAATATTATCGATCCCAAAAACACGTGTCCAATTTTTATGATATATTGTTTGGAAGCTCGAAAAAAAAACAGAGAGGGAAAAAGGAGAGAAAAAAAAAGTGAACGAAAAGAGAGAAATGAAAAGGGCTTTGCGAGAGAACAGCCGGAACACTCCCTACAAAGTCTGTCTGACACCCTTATGCGCCATCAAGGAGGGTTGAATGCTTCTACTGTTTACCACTGCAACGAATAATAACTGGCCCTACCTTTCATTGCTCCACTTTCAACTTATTTAAATAAAAAAAAAAAAGATCAAATTATTCTTTTTTTAGTACATTATTAAAAGGATTTTTTTTTCTATTTTTAATTGAGGTTTCTAAATCCAAACTAGTAGAAAAATCTTCCACTAATTTAGCTAAAAAATTTTTACATTTTAATTAAACATTTTTACTACAATTTTTTGGAATTATTTTCTACCAAAGTTTCAGTAAAAAAATTTAGTTAGAATTTTTAGTATCAATTGAGTAAAAAATTTATTATATACTTAGTATTATTTTAGTAGAAAATAGTAGACAGTATTTTTAGTAAAATGTTAGTAAAAAATTTAGATAGTATTATTAGTATTATTTTAGTAAAAAATTTAGTTTGTATTTTTAGTAAATTATTACAGTAAAAAACTTAATATTTTTAGTATTATTTCAGTAAAAAAACATAATATTTTTAGTATCATTTTAATAAAAAATGTAAATAGCATTTTTAGTATTATTAGAGTAAAAAATGTAGATAGTATTTTTTGTATCAAATTCGTAAAAAATTTTGTTAGTATTTTTAGTATTATTTCAGTAAAAAAATTAATATTTTTAGTATCATTTTAGTAAACAATGTAGATAGTATTTTTAGTATCATTTTAGTAAAAAATTTAGATAGTATTTTTGTATCAACTTCGTAAAACATTTTGTTAGTATTTTTAGTAGGTATAATTTTAGTAAAACATGTAGATAGTATTTTTAGTATTATTTTAGTAAAAAATTTAGTTCGTATTTTTAGTAAATTATTACAGTAAAAAACTTAATATTTTTATTATTATTTTAGTAAAAAACATAATATTTTTGGTATTATTTTAATAAAAAATGTAAATATCATTTTTAGTAATATTAGAGTAAAAAATTTAGATAGTATTTTTTGTATCAATTTCGTAAAAAATTTGTTTAGTATTTTTAGTATCGTTTCAGTAAAAATTCAGATAGTATTTTTTGTCTCAATTACGTAAATAATTTAGATGGTATTTTTAGTAAAATATTACAGTTAAAAAACTTAATATTTTTAGTATCATTTAAGTAAAAAATTGAGATAGTATTTTTAGTATTATTTTAGAAAAAAATTTAATTAGTATTTTTAGTATCATTTTAGAAAGAAACTTAA